AGCTCGATGTGTCAAAGGCGTCGTTGAAAAAGTTTAGCAATAAGGTTGTTGCTTTGAATTAATCGATGATTGCCTTCTAGCGTCAGATCAGCTAGCTAATATAGTTTAATTTCCAAAGGGATTCATTTTAGATGAATTCATTTGAAATCCGAGTGATTTTTTTCTAATACACATGCGAATATGTAGTTAGAAAATGTAAGTGCATTGGGGATATGGTGATTGATTTTCACTTCGCGATAAATTTAATTCATGGATTGAGCCGTTGAGCTAATGGAATGTTTGTTCATCGAAGAACACTGCTCCAAAGAGCATATTTTGTTTTAATATAGTACATCAAATAATGTAGTTAATGAATCTTTCTTTTAACCAAAACTAAAGTCTTTTAACCAATAATGAATAAAATCCTGCACAGCAAACGAGTTTGTTCGTTGCCAATTATTTATTATTAAATTACGTCGTATCTAGTAATGTCCTTCTAACATCAGTACATCTTGATTGATTTGGATGTACTTTGGGAAATATTATGTAGATGACGTAAAGAAGGCGAATACAAATATAAATGATTGGATGACAAAATGCATATTGCAACGAGTATGATATCGAGATGATTATTCAGGAAACGAATGTCGAGATAGGTGAAAGTGTTCGAGGTGAAGATGTTTATATAATCCAGAGTGCATGCGGTGAGATCAATGACCACTTAATGGAGTTGTTGATCATGATTAACGCATGCAAAATTGCATCGTCGTGTCGTGTGGCGGCCGTTATTCCGTGTTTTCCATACGCTAGACAAGATAAGAAGGTGCTTTTTGATGAAATTATCCTTTTGATGGTTTATATTTATGAGACGGTTCAAGTTATATCATCTAGCAATATGTTTTTTTTAAAGCTGCATCAGTGATTACGTTCCAAAAGAGTATTTTGCCGTCCTGAACTGAATTCTTTCATAATCATATTTCAGTGGTACTTAGTAAAATCAATTTGCAGAAGGATTAATCGATAATGATAACTTTTTGATTGCAATGATTTAATATCATATTGATGCACTCATACCAGTTTGATTGATTTGTTAATTACGTTCGATGG